CCATACACAGGTCAACTAAGGGTGCAACTGCAAGTTGTTTCCTGGCAAGTGTGCAACTCCGCAGAAGTACTCTAGCAAGTGTTTAGCTTGGTAGATGTGTACTTGTAAGTGTGCAACCCCTCTGTTGAGCACTTCCTATACACTAGGCATTCAATCTAAGGAAGTGGTTAACATAGGAGTTGTATACTTGCAAGTTCACACCTTCCGATATGGACATCTACAAGTATACTACTACAGAGTGAGGCACTTACAAGTGTACTCCGACACCGTTGCCTCGCATATATCCAACTTGCGGTTGCACACTTACAAGTTCTAAGCAGTTGCACACGTAGTTTATCAGTGTATCTGTATTCAATTCAGTTTAGCGAGAGCAGGAGAGCGGAGTGACAGCGCGAGGGATAGCGCATGAGAGCAGAGAATCATACTTTCTCAGAGGACATGTCAGTGGTTCTACTTCGTTTCGTAGAAATTACGACATTATTTTATCATTGTCCAATCGATGATACGTACTCTTGTAGGTTATATTTACTCCGCTCCTACTCTGATAAACCAAAAGCACATGCAGAGCTCTTGTAAGTGTGCAACTGCGAGACGTGCAACTCCATCGTAGTACACTTGCAAGTAAACAACTTGCAGTTGCACACTACTTACAAGTGTTGAGCAGGTGCCGGCAGTTGCAAATTTGGTTAGTTACACTGTAAAGAATAGGTTAACGGGAAAATTTACCACGATCTTGTGAATTTACAAGCACTTCGTATCAACTTCGATGTCATTTTACAAATTTGTTCTTCTCAGTGTCAACTCAGAAAACTTTGAACGTCGAACGGCAACGATATAATGGTGGCACCTGCAACGCTATGAGAAGGCCAACCCGCTGAGCAAATTTCTGCAAAATAGCGGCCCGCCCAGAGCGCCTAAGCGTGGCAGCCTCAAGTATAAGGAATGACGTTTTCTCGCGAAGGTTTACCTGTGGTAAAACGCGGTCGTGTCACCCACTCCAAAATAAAGATGGGCTAACGTGTTCGCATTCGATCGAACTCGAACGAACATCGAGCTGTTCGTGATCACTCGAACACGAACATGAGGTCTTCGGATTCGAAATGTTCGAGTACAACTCGAACAGAAGTTCGTACTCGAACAGAATTGATGTATGATTCAGAAATACGCGTTATATATGGGTGTAATTAAGTGGGCAGTGACAGATTAATAAATAACTACAATTTTAAAGGTTAATGGGAGTATTGTACACCAGCATAGATAGCTCTTACAGCTCATAAGCAAAAAGAAACATTAATACTTATTCGTGGTCGGATCGAATTTGAACATAACATTGTTCGGTTTGGTTCGTTTGGAGAACAAAATGGTTGTTCGTGTTCGTTCGAAGATTTTTAGACTAAATTTGTTCGAGTTCGTTCACTCTCATCCTGTTGCTGATTTTTTTTACCTT